GAGGTGTCCTCTCTATGGGAATCCTGAATCCCATCTTCTATCCCCTTCGTGGCTCAGAAACGAGGAGGGAGCGGCTTGCCCAAAGTCCCGCTGCAACCAGCCCTCCACAAGGCCCCTGCCTGAGTCGGCTGCCTTTTCCTCCGCCACGTCTGCTCCTTTAGCCCCCAAGACGTGGCCGGAGCCCAGGAAAAGTCCTAATGAGACCACAGAAAGGCCTTGCAAGCCCCAGTGGGTTCCTGTCCCCTCCTCCTGCCTCCTCCATCCCAGTGACCTTCATGGGTCCCCCTCCCCTTCCGATTTCCCAGGTCCCTCACGCCACTTTGGGCAGGGAGGGAGGAGGTAGACATGGAGCGATCCCCAAAAGCAGCAATCCGAGCACAGGCAGTTTCTTCTGGGGTGAGGCTGTCTCAGCCCCCAGCCTGCTTGTGCTTTCCCTCGGGCCCTCAGCTCCTCCGTCACCTTGAGCAGGTTCAGCCCTGCCTCCAAGTTCCTGCGGAGGTCTCCCCCATGGCACCTGGGGAGGCCCCCCCGGGACCCCTCCTCTGTGCTTTTGTGGACCCAGCTGTGCAAAGCTCCATCCCCAGTGGAGGGAGAATGCAGCTCTTGGCCTCCCCGGCTCAGTTTCCTGGCCAGGGTGAGCCCACCACGCTGCCACCTTCCTCTGCCTCCTCCCACGAGGCCCTTGGGACCACCCTGGGCTGCCGGGGGTCACACACACAGGCCCTTGGTCCCCAGGGCCTGAGGAGGGGCGCCCATTGCTGCAGCCCAATTCAAGGCCCCCTGCTCCCCGGGTAGAGCCTGTGGGGGAGGGCCTCCTGCCTAGATCGTCCCCTCTTAGTCTCGAGCTAATTTTTTTTGTTTTCCCCTTTTTAGGCCATGATTTCTGGAGAGCTCGACATTCTCAAAGATTGGTGCTATGAAGCTGTGAGTACTTCTTTCTTTTTATTTTTTTCTAGTTAGACCTAAAAAGAATCATAGCTTGGAGATCTGCTTGGGCAGCATGGTCTGAGAAGGGCATGACGGGGTCTGGTGTCCTGATTGTGGGGGGATCCCGGGGACCGGGGCTGGGCGGAGAGGGGTGTGTGTGACCTTCCCATCCCCAGGCCAGCGTCCATCATCACGCCCATATCACAGGCATCATAAGGGTACAGCACGAACACAGGCAGCATTTGCAGGACACAAAGCGCTGGCTGGACTCATTAGCTGTCCTCACTTTGAGTTCCCGAAACAGATCAAAACAGACGGTGATAGATTTCCCGCATGGGGAGGAGCCGTGTCCTGACGAGGCCTGACTGCTCCCCGGAGTCGGGGCTCAGGGTCCCCGGGCTGCACGGTGCCGGGCCATGGGTGACAGGGTCAGCCCCCCTCAGGAGCACACCCTGTCTTCCCTGGAGCCTGGCAGCCTCCCCGTGCCTGCAGGGCTCTGGCTGGCCACCTCGCCTCCCCCTGCTCACTCCCTGACCTGTGTCTTTGTGGGTTGTTTTTTTTTTTTTGTCTTTTTCTGAGCTTATTTGTATTAAGCAATCCAGAGCCTTTTTTGGCTGACTCTGTTCTGCTTCCAGCTCACAAACAACTTGGAGAAAGCAGAGGAGAAGATGTCAGATTTTTTTTTTTAAATACTCCTCTGCATGGTGACTAATCCAACAGGCATTTGTGAGTGGTGGTGGTGGTTCTTTTTTTTTTTTTTTAATAATTTGGCACCATTAGGATGTGGTTGATTATCTTTGCCAGAGAGCTGCTGGTGCCCCTGGAAATGCACTTGAAATTGCAGGTGCTCACACAGAGGTGTTTTTTAAATGTCATTTTTTAAGAATCACACCAGAAATGGGAGCGGCAGCGTTTGTTTTCTTGGTAGCAGTTATTTCCATAAAAAGTAGTTGTGATTGGAATGTCTTCCATCATAGTTGCTGAGTCCAGAGAAGCTTCTGGAGGAAAGCTACAAGGCTACACATGTCCTGGGCCTGGGAGCAGGCTGGGGGGGGCCAGGGGTGTTATGCGGGCTGCGCTGCCCCTTCGGAAGAACGGGCTGCCTGCGGGCAACAGCTTCCCGGAGCAGCTGGTCAGCGAGGAGGAGGCACCCCGTGCAGCTCATTTCAGAGCAGCCGTGGATTAGGGCAAATCCTAGAAAACGCGTTTGATTCCAGGCCAGGATTCAGAGTGCGGTGAATAGGGGCAAGTCCAAGATCAGCCAGAGAGGCCTCAACTTACCCCTGGGACTGTGTTTCTGATTCTGTGGGAGGAAAATTACCAACTCTCCCGATGATACCACTTTCAGTCGGTAGTCTTGATGCAGTGCTGCCTTTATAACGAGGGAGGGGTGTGCGATTCGGGCCAGCAAACGGGGGGCACCAGCCCGTCTGCTTGGACCCGTGCTCCTGGCGTCTGCCACGCCTGGCGTAGCACAGCCCCGCGCCAGGAGCCGTTTCTGGACGGTTCGAGGGCTGAAAGCGCGGGGCTCGGCTGGCGAGCCCGCCTGCGGGGAGAGCCGCCCAGGACCGTGTGTCGGGCCCCG